CAAAAAAAAAAAAAAAAAAAAAAAAATGGTGGAGGGGGATCTGTCATCCTATTAGCAATCCTAAGCCCTCCTCATCCGGAAGAACTACTTTACCTTTGGAACCTTGAAAGGAAGCCACCCTGGGAAGATGTTCAGACAGGAGGGTGACAAGGGGGTCTTGCAGGGAGCTGTACTGAGGCTGGCTGCCACCCTGCCGCCTCGTTCAGAGCCCCAAGAGCCTCACCTGCATAAGTGGTGCCGTCGATGTCCACAGACATGTTGATGCTCCCAATGCTGCTCGTGGTCAGGTTCACTGCTGCAGCCGAGGCCTCTGCTCTGTCCTCTGCTGGGGACAAGGGAGACAGCAGGCCCGGTCAAGCCCTCCGGCATTTCTGTCGTTCCCTTCAAGGCTCTCCCACCCTCCCGGCCTGGCCACAGCAGGCTGAGGCCTCCCAGAGTTAGAAAGCACCTGGATAACCTTCTGCCGAGCGTAAGGTGTGGCAGGAGAACCAGGCTGGTGAACGTCCTACGGCTTTTGCTTTCTCCACTGAACCACTTCACCTTCCCAACTCCCTCTGCTCTCAGAGAAGAGGCATCACATAGGCAGGGAGGCTGACCTCAGCTCGCAGCTGCGCACTGATGCTTTCAACACGATTCAGCAAACCCTGAGCACCCACTATCCACCGGCTGGGGCTAAGGTCACTAACACCCAGCCCCTTCCTCTGAGGATTCGCCTTGCCTCCTCCTCCCCTTAACCAGGCTGGGAGGTCCTCAAGGAGAGGGTCTACCTGCCCAGCACCTGGCACTCCCTCTCAATCTGAGCCCTCTGTGGTTTGTGGAAGGCTGCAGGCACTGGCACACAGGGCCTCTGCCTGGCTCACCCGAGACTCTGCCCTTTCATGATGTTGAGAGCCAAGAATTCTTCCAGATGAGCTGCCTCATCTATTAGCCTGTGGCTTGTGCAGGGCCAGGGGCACCTGGCCTGAGTGGGTCAAGAGGGCAGAGCCCTGCTCTCCGGGCTGTGTCACCTCCAGTTCCCTTTGGCTCCTCGCCAGGGGGGAGCGGGACAGGGAGGGGCTGCCTGGGAACACGCACAGCTCTCTTCACACCTGATTTCTTCCCAACACGAGCCCGCTCATGTTTGTTCTGAGATAGAGTCAAGAATGGCAAAGAAAATGTGTGTGAGGGGGAAAGGGGAACAAGGGGAACAAGGGATGTGGTGTGGTTGGGGGGGGCGGGGGCGGGGAGAAGGTGGGGCACCTGAAAAATGTGGAGGGGAAGGGAAAAGATGCCAGTTATGCTGCCAAACTTGTATTTCCTCCTCCCCTCTCTCCCGGGGGTCACTGGCAGCCTGGCCTGAGGCAGCTCTGGCCCCTCACTGAGCCTCCGGAAAGGAGGTGCTGTCTTTCTCCCAGATGGTGAGGCACTGGGGTGAAGGGCGAGCCCTTTAATTGAGACAGATCAAAAGGCAGGAGGGGACAGGGAAGAGGCGGCAGCTGTCCCTCAGGGCCTCCTGCTCCTCCTTGAACAACTGCGTCTCCTCTCTGCTAGAGAACAGGGCACGCCTGAGGCAACTGCAGGGCCCCTGCAGAATGACTTCAGCTTTGGTGAACTGAGACCTCCGTGGCCACCAAAGCCTCAGGTGGCTCTTTGGCCTCTAGATCCTTCTGGGGGCCAGGGGGGCAGAACCTGGAGGGGCTCCACCCCAGTCCCCGGGACGTAAACGGGCCCTCGAATGGAGCCGGGGTTTGGCGCCCGGGCCCGGCGCTCACCCCTGCCGTTGATCCTGATCTTCATGGGCAGCTGCCGTGCCACGCTGAAAAAGTTGCGCTGGAAGGCCTGCTGCACCAGGCGCTGCTCCTCCTCTGACAGCCTGGACGCCTTCTTCTCGGGGGGCTCCCCCGACTCCACGGGGTTTGGCGCCCGGGCCCGGCGCTCACCCCTGCCGTTGATCCTGATCTTCATGGGCAGCTGCCGTGCCACGCTGAAAAAGTTGCGCTGGAAGGCCTGCTGCACCAGGCGCTGCTCCTCCTCTGACAGCCTGGACGCCTTCTTCTCGGGGGGCTCCCCCGACTCCGGCCGCCCCCGCAGCTGCTCCAGCGTGGCCGTCCGGGTACCGGCCTGCTGGCTGGCCAAGGTCACGGGCACAGCCAGGCGATTTGGCACGGGCACGGTTGTCACTGGGACTCCATCACCTGACAACGGCACCAGAGCTGGACCCAACCCATAACCCACCCTCCCACCTGGGTCTTGGACCCAGGGAACTTGGCGCCCTTCCTCCCTGCCCTTCCTCCTCACAAGGGCCCTGCAGACCTTTCCTGAGAGTGGTTGCTGGGGATATCCGAGGGCCACTGGCATTGGGGCCACTGCCGGAGCCCAGCCCGAGGATGGGGAAGCGGATCTTGGGTGGGGAGAGGAGGGCAGGGGCCCCAGTGGCAGCGGCAGAGGCAGCAGCGGGCGAGTAGCCGAAGAGGGAGGAGCTGTAGCTGGGCCGGCGGCCCTCCCTCCGGTTGCCATCAATGGCTGCCTGGAGCTCGGCCGGGGAGCTCAAGGCTTTCTTCTCGCACTCGTAGGCATAGAGATACTTCATATACCTGGAGGGAAGGAAGGAAGGAAGCCAGAGTCATCCAACATGTGGCATGAGGGCTGCCCAGTTTAAGTCGATGGGCCTCTGGAAGCGGGCTCTGTGGGGCAGGCTCTGTCCTCTAGGACAAAGAAGCACAACCTGGTGCACGTGATGGGAAGAGGAACCTCCCGGACAGCGATGCCCCACCCCAGGCCCTCTAACTGCTACCCAATTCTAAACGCAGCTCGAAGTGGAGGCACGGTTCATTAGGGAAACAGATATTTTCGCTAACATTTCATGTTTTTGTGGCGCCTTTCTAGTGCCCTGGGAGAAATGAGAAATGCCATGTTTTGCAATGTCTTTCTGGCTCCTTGATCTCCTAACCATTCTGAGTCAGGCTGGTCAGACAGGAGCAATTCTTCCCACTGTGTGTGGACCTAGAAGTGCTGTCCCTCTTTGTGTCAGATGCCCCGAGAAGCAATTTGCTACCCAAGAACCTTGGGAGCAGGACTGCTATGCTGGATATTGCTCTGTTCCCAACTTCTCCTGGAACAGTTTCAACAAGGCCTTAACATGTCACCTAACCTACACATGGCTGATCTTTCCGTATTTTTCACAGAACAACGTCCAGAGTTCCGAAAGAACAGATTCCCCTCTGGCCCTCATTCGCCAGTGCTCCTCCTGTTCTCACTGCTTCTATCACCCTTATAATTAACTCAAATGGGTAGAAAAACAGGTTGCCGATCCCAGTGGGGCCAGCCTGCCTGCCTTCCTCTGGGTCCGCTGCTGCTGGGCAAGCTGAGTGTCAGGTAGGAAGGGCCAGGCTTAGGGTAGGGGCGCTGTGTGGGAGATGACGTCCTGGAAAAAGCGTGAATTTCAGAGACAGAAGCCCAGGTGTGACTCTTCAGCCTGACCACTTACTAGCTGGTATGGCTCTGACCAAACGATCTAACCTCTGAGACTTAGTTCTTGTTGTCTGGGAAACAGGGACAAAAACCTTCTTGACGGGGTTGTTGGTGAGGTCTGAATGAAACAGAACAGTGAAGCAGCAGCACACAGGAGATGCTTGGGAAGGGGCGCTCTCAGGATTACTTAGGTTAGGGAGGGATTCATCTCAGAAGCTCCTGGCCCTTTCAGGAATTCCGCCCATCTTGTTCACTATACACTGGAATTTCCTTCCTTCCTCTCCTCTAGGTTAAAGCATCCCCTTTCTCCAGCCTTAGCTTCCTTTCCCCAAGGCTCTGGCCACTCACTGGGTCCTCAGGGTGAAGGCGGCGCTGGTGATGGATGTGGGCAGGTTCAGGCCTTTGGTGATCTCCCTCCAGATCTTCTTGTTGATGATCTCCACCAGGCCCCCCTTCTCCGTCACCAGCTTATACAGCATATACAGGTCCAGGATCTGCTTGGCCATGATGGGGATCCGGTTGATGGGGGTCCCTGTGATTGTGCAAAGAGAGAAACAGAGGGTTGTGTCATTACCATGCAGAGAAAGAAGATATCTGTGGATGCCCACCCTTTTGCTGAGTTGGAAATATGTTCATAAATCTGCTTAGAAGTATAATTTGACCCAAACTCTCAAAGCCTGGAAGCTATCAGACTAGCTGCCAGTTCTCCTTGGGAAGAACAGAAAGATAGGTCCAACTCACAGGCTGTGTGGCCTTGGGTAAAACACACAGCCTCTCTGGGTCTGTTTCCCACCTGTAAATGAGAGGGCCAGACTAAATGACTTCAAAGATTTTTTTTGTTTGCTAGCAGTATGATTCCAGATTCTTTCCTAATGATTTGGCAACTCAGTCCTCTGGAGCCTTCAGAAGCTGTTCAGCTGCCTCCTCAGGGAAGTCTTCCACTGACTCCCAAGACAGGTGAGGTCCTGCCCCACTGTCCACCTGGAGAGCTTCCTTGGCTTCTCTTCTGCAGCTCTCAGTGCAGTTTATAACCGTGTTTTTATTTGCATACTGCCTGTTTTCTCTTCATCTCTTCTCCTGCTGCAGGACAGAGAAATGGTTTTTTCTCTCCTGTGTACCCACCATGTCAAAGGAGCTGCTGGGCACACAGGTCTCCAGGGGGATGAAAAGCCACTCAACAATTCACTCCAACCCCTCCCTGGCCTCTGAAAGAGGGAGGGTCAGAGCTGCTTCCGCCCACTGGCCCTGAAGGGAAGTGAGAGGAGCCAGGGACTTGATTAGGAAACCTGGCACCGAGCAGGAAGGCCCACTAATGAGCACCGGGGGACGGCAGGGAGGGCGGGGCCAGGCTCCTTGCTCGGGCGGCTGGGATGCTCGTCAGGAGGCGTGATGGATGACTGTCATTTGGCAGCCTTGGGATTAATGATCTGGAGGTCAGAGGGGAGAATTCCAGCAGGAAGGGTCACCGTCCAGGGCAGGGTATGAGACTTGTTGCCTTTTGATGGCAAGTCCTTTTACTGTACATAGGCTGCTCCTCCTGTGCCGCGGCCGCACCCCCCACCCAGGCTTGTTGAGGTCTCACTGACTGCCTGGTGGAGTTAAGCCAGCTTGATTAAGGAAGGGCTGTTTGTTTTAGCTCCTCCTGCTTCTTTCCCCTCAAGGAATGGCATTTTCTTCTCAGCTCTAGAACACTGGCCTCACCAACTCTTTTATAGGGTAATTCAAGCCAGAGTGGAGTGAAGGGTGCCACGTTTATGAGGAGAAAGTAGCGTGAGCACGAACACGTGGCACTGCTATGGTGGGACCGGGCCTCTTTTCTCAGTGTGGGGAGGGAGCTAGAGGTCTTGAAGACCTTTGTATTGACCGGCTGGTCTTTGGAGGGTCAAGGACAAAAGGGCCCTAGAGTTACGTTCCAAGATTCATTGGTAAAATATCAGAGGACTCTGCTGGCACGACAGCTCGCGTGTCGGTTAACTACCTCTCCCTGTGCTGCTCTGGGTAGTAGACCTTATTCCTGTCATATGCACAAGAGTCTCATGCAGCAGAACTGATCTCCTGGCAGGACAGGGCTAAGGTCTCCTCCCTTCTTTGCAGGCCTGTCTGCCTGAGCACGCTCATGGCCTTGGTGAGTTCATACCCTCAGGGCATCACCTGGAGACTCTGGCAGGACCACTCCCAAGGCCCCCTCACACAAGTCCCCGAAGCTCTCAATTCCAGAAGCTTCCAGAACATCTTTACACATGTGACCTGTTCACTTCCAGGTCAGATGTTCACAGTGAGCTCACCTTCATCCCCTAGGCCAGCTCCCTTTTCCCATCACTTCCTCTTCTTCCAGCAGCACCATCATTCTTTGAGGTCTTGGGTAGGAACCTCCGAGGCAGCAGTGGCTCCTCTCCCTCCTCTCTCACCCACCTTTAGGCTGTCGGGAGGCTCACCCATTACTGCTTTGAGGCCCCTCTCAAAGCCATCTTCCTCTCCAGCTCTCAGCCACCACCCTGGGCCAGGCCCTCGCTGGCTCACCATCAGATGCCCCCAGCAGCTTTGAATCCACATGCTCAACCTGCACGCTGCTGCCAGACCATCTAATGAAAACACCACTTTCACGCCATTACTCGCTTCCTAGTTTAAAAACCCACAATGACTCTTATTGCCGACCCAGCCCACCTCACATGTTCAATCTCATGACTCGGGTTCCCCAACACTCCTTAGAAGATTACGTACGATGTATTTTAAGCATGTCCCAACAACTCACTCTCACTCCAATCAGTTGGGTCTTCTCACCCTCACCCTTTGGCTCTCACTAAAGCCAAGCTCCTCTCTCCTCTACTTTTTGTTTTTACTGTCCCTCCTCATCAAGCCTAAAATGACCTGTCTGCGCTCAAATCCTCTCTACACTGGCCTTCAACGTTCACTCCCTCCAGGAAGAATTTTCCAACTACCCCAGTTCACATGGATTTCTTTCCTCTCAGAATTTCTATTATAACCACTACAACCAAGTTCAGCAAATAGTTACACTTGTTTCACATATGTTCGTCTGGTATCCCAGGAGGACTGTAAGCTCAATGAAGGCAGGGATTGTTTTTCCTTCATCATGTCTTGAATATTAGAATGTTTAATAAGCTAAACTACCATGCAGATCAAACCAACCAACCAACCAACCAACCAACCTGCTTCTCAGAGTCAAAGCAACCAGCTCTGTGTTAACCCAACTGGGAATATTAAACACATTTCCTTCCTTCCTGCTGTGGTGTGCCCACCAGGGTCTGTCACTAACTCGAAGTGTCTAATTGCTGACAGCCCTGAACAGAAGTCACCCTCTCCTCTCAGGTCCTGGCAGGTTCATTAGGGGGTCACGACCCTTATTAAACAGACTGGGGAACCGAGGCCCAGAGTGGTTAAGCCCTTTGTGTCTGAGTCCTACAATAAGAGGACTGGCAGCAGAGGAATGGATGGAGAGCTGGGGATTTTGAGAAGGTAAAGAAACCATGACTTCATTCAGTGGGGCCAAAGAGAAGGGGAGACAGGTGTTAAAGAGGGCAACGGGGCTGGGTTTGTGATGCCCACAGAACAGGCGTGGCTGAGTGAGTGACCGCCAAGCAGGGCATGCCCAGCCGGGGGAGTGCTGTCCTTCAGAACTGTCACCTTGGAGAGCCAGCTACTGCTCCGTTTGTGAAGAGCTTTCAGAGTTTACACTGTTTTCATTTAATTCTCTCCAAGGGCGGTAAATCTTCAAATGTAAAGGGTGTATTTTACTTTTAGAAATGCTCATTCATGGAAACAAGCCAGGAAAATAGGATGAAGTGACCAGGCTGTTTATACTGATTTTGTGTGAAGATGAGGTGTGGCCATAAACGATGAAAGATTATCTAGTGTGGCTCAAACTGCCTCTGAAGGCAACTCCCCAGAGAGGAATTATAGATTTGCTCGTAGTAGTCACTAGACTAAATGGCTAGTCATTTGAGATGGCTTCTTTCAAAGACAACAATGTCATAGATGTAGAAATTTCATTAAAAATTAGCCTTTTTTATAGTCACACAGAGAGTGACTGCATTAGGCTGGGAACTGCTCAGGGGCAAGGGAAACAGGTAGATACTGGACCTGAGAAGACAAGGAAGGAGCAAAGTGGCATTTCAAGTCTCCAGAGTGACCTCTTCCCAGCACCGCTGGAGAGAAAACACAGGCCAGGGCTGCCCTGCAACCCAGCCCCACTCTGGGTATGTGGGGGGTCATAACTTCTCTTACCAGGGCCCCTATGGCCTGGCCAGGCACCCCGGTTCCAGGATCAGTGGGTAAGGGGAATGGGCATTTTCTTCCTCATGGTTGGCCCTCCACGAAACTGCTAAAAGTAGCTCCCAGTGCAGGCGGGCCCCTCAGTGCCCTCAGATACAAAGGTGAAGCTATTCTGAGACCCAGCTCTAGATGACATCATGGTTTTCTCACATTATGCAGCCAATCCAGACACAAAACCTGCCTTGGCTTCCATTCTTTTGACAACTAAGAGAGAGGCAGGGTCCTCAGGCTGGTCTCTCTCTGCAGTCTGCTCTGTGCTTAGTGGGCCTGATAAGCCACCTCCCTTGTCCCAAGGAGACTCAACTATGAAGAGAAGGGGAGAAGGCCTTTTAGCTGAGTTTCCCTACCTGAACGAGAAAGAAAACCAATACATCACGCTGCGGGTGGGGATGGGGGGGATCGACAATATTCAGGCCTCAGTTTCCCTGTCAGTCTGAAGCAAGGAATTTGCTTCCAGATGACTTCCAGTTCTAAAGTCCTATGAATCTATGAATAAATTGATAGTTTGGGGGTGGTGGTGGTGGTGGTGTGATGAATTGGCAGATTGGGATGGACATATATACACCAATATGTATAAAATGGACAACTAACAAGAACCTGCTGTATAAAAAAATTAAATTAAATTTAAAAAAATTGATAGTTGTGACTATTACCAAGGGAGGTAACTTGATTTTAGGAGCTTGCCTGAATTACGAAATAATGTTGCCAGGTGACCTGGAGATGGATGGTTTGGGATCTTCTCCAATGAAGGGCGCCTGTGTGGCTTAGGACCAGGTCTGTGAAGTGCAAGTCCATAAGCAATGGCTCTTTCTCTAGCCTTGTGGGGAAGTGGGGGAGTCTCTGGCCTATTCTCTGGGCTGGATTACATCTTCCTCTAAAGAGGCTCTTCACCTGAGAGGGGACAGGCCTCAGTCCACAATAAAGGCAAATGCAACCTGCAGAGAACCAGGAAGGAGGCCAGCTGCCACTGCAGGGAGCTCTTGGTGGGTCACCAGTGTTGGCCCTGCAGGAGGCCGAATCTCTGCCCCCATCACACCTCCCAGAGTGGGCAGGAGCACCTGATGGGGAAGCCTGTGGACTGTCAGTCACTGCTATCAAAGCAGGAGCTAGGATTGAGGGTAATTAATCATGCTCCCTCTGACAGCAATCCAGGGCCTTATCTGTACCCCAAGAAATGCCGCTGGTCTCCAGTTCCCTCCTCAATAAAGGAGACTGACAGTTCCAACAAAGAGGCCCCTTATC